ACTTGACTCCCTCTTTAAGTAGAATAAAATGACTTGAATGTTGTTATGTTCTTTGATCATTGATCTTAATGAATTTGTTGGCTTCTAAATGCAAGGTCATCTTAGATATATTTTCTAAACTTAGAAGCAACGCCAAACAACATTTCTTTTAAAATTCAGGTTCTACCATCAAAACAAATCTTACCCGTGCCAGGCAATCACTTGACTGGAAGTCTGTCTTTCCAGCTTTAGACAAGCGGCGTTTGTCATTGCTTGTAGTTAGGGGAGCATCTGTCTTTGGAATTTTATGCTCTGTCCCTCTGTCCAATTCTGACCTCTCTAGATGGGGCCCAGCCACCTCCTTGAGAGAATCTGGGCCATTTTCTAACTCAAAGGCGTGCCCATTTCCAAGTTCAGGGTCTGCGCCGTTCTCCAGTTCAGAGCCAGGGTCACTGGCCAACTCACAGCCAGCGCTGCTCTTGGATTCTTCAGGGGTCTTGTTGGTAGGAGGCTTGGAAATGACTGCGAACTTTCTCGTTCTTTTCCCCTTTTTCGTACTTCGGTCACCCAGCTCCAAGGTAGGTGTCTCTCCAGGTTCAGAGCTGTTGCTGCTGTTGCCATTATAAGTAGAATGGGCTTTGTGCTTAAAGCGACGCAGCATGATCAGGTAGATGAAGCCGCCATTCCAGCACTGCTCAGCCAGGTAACTGCAACAGATGAGAGGTGCCATTAGAACCCCAAACACCTTCCTAAACAACCCGGCAGGTAGATGTAGTCGATGGCACCCACGTGATTAAAAATCTGACCAACGGATTGAGGCACTAAGCTTCCTAGAGAGGCTCAGAGCTCAACTTATCCTTTTCATTTATGTAATTGTTGATGCCAAAAATGACCCCAAACCCTCCAAACCAAAAAACCCCCATGAACTAGAAATGATTAATTTAAGTACCATAGGATCAGGAGGCAGAGAAGGATTTTTCTATCAACAGAGCCAATCCTAACATATCATTAAAAAATAAAAATCTTCTCCACTCCCTCAACAATTTCTTGTATTGGAATGATGCTAGACTCCTATCTTTACAGTTCTTTTTCTAAAAAAAAAATTTTTTTTCTTTCATTGTGGTAATATATATGCATAAAATAAGGTTTGCCATTTTAAGCATTTTTCAACACACATTTCTGTGGAATTACATTCACAATGCTATGTGATCACCACCTCTATTTCCAAAACNTTGATACTTTTATGCCCATTTTTCACCTTTCCAACTTTCTCTTTCATCCCTACAGGGTGTCTTCTGAGTCAGAGAAGACACCAATCAACACCTACCTAGTAAGTTATCACTTCATGAGGAGCCCGTAGGAATATCTGCTAAGAGGATTCTTGGATAGAACACGTTTACCCTAAAGAAATGTAACTCTAATATAAGAGAATGCTGGTCACGATGGGGGAGACAATAGAGGCTAGAAGCTCACTTACTACCATTCAGAATATGCCACATCTGCTTTGCCTTTAGGTAAGACCAACCCGGACCATCACAGCTGGATATAACAGTATTAGAGATTTCTGTGAGGCTTCCAAACTTCACTGGAATTTGCCAGTGTAATAACATGATCCCATGAAAATGTCACTGGTTTTGAACTGTTAAAAATAAAAGCAGATGCTTTCCTGCATGTTGAATTCCCTTCCTGTGTAATACTGAGGCTTGGATGTTTCTGCTGTCAACTGCCACCAGGAATTCTTGGCCTTGAAGTAGCAATTTCTCTGGTGACAGCAGTGATAAATAGTGATGTGGCTCACATACTTTATACGGGTCTCTGGCTCAAATTTACCACAGAAGGCTTGAATTTTCCACTTACGATCACTTGACTCCCTCTTTAAGTAGAATAAAATGACTTGAATGTTGTTATGTTCTTTGATCATTTATCTTAATGAATTTGTTGGCTTCTAAATGCAAGGTCATCTTAGATATATTTTCTAAACTTAGAAGCAATGCCAAACAACATTTCTTTTAAAATTCAGGTTCTACCATCAAAACAAATCTTACCCGTGCCA